CCCCCCCGCCCCCCCCCTCCCCAAACACGGTCACAGCTGTCACCCACCCCGAACTCCGTCACCAGGATGTCTGTGATGCTGCCCAGCACCGTGACGAAGTCGAAGACGTTCCACGCGTCGCGGAAGTAATTCTGGAGGGGGAAATGGGGTGAGGGGTCCCCAGGGTCCCCATGTCCCCGCTGTCCCCGTGTCCCCCATCCCCATGTCCCCCCCACGTCCCCAAATTGCCATGTCCCCACGTCCCCACATCCCACTGCCCCCATGTCCCCCCATCTTCCCCCATGTCCCCATGTCCCCACATCCCCATGTCCCCCCATGTCCCCACATCCCCATGTTCCCCCCACATCCCCCCATATCCCCACATCCCCACATCCCCTCATCCCCATCTCCCAATATCCCCACATCCCCTCACCCTATGTCCCCATTTCCCATGTAACCAAATCCCCACATCCCCCCACGTCCCCCCACGCCCCCCAGCAGCACGGGGCACCCACCAGCACCCCGAAGGCCATAATCTTCAGCAGACACTCGAGGGAGAAGAGGGAGGTGAAGACGTTGTTGAACATCTTGAGAACGTTCTCGTAGGCATCGGAGGCGTCGTAGAACTGAGGGGGGGGGACAGCGGTGGAGGGTGGGGAGGGGTCCCAAGGTGTGGGGGTGGGGAGGGGTCCCAGGGAGTGGGGACAGGGATGGGTACAAGGGGATGGGGGTGGGTCCCAAGGGATTGGGATGGAGGGAGGAGGGTCCCAGGGGGTGGGGGTCAGTCCCAAGGGATGGGGATTGGTCCCAAGGGATAGTGATGGGGAGGGGTCCCAGGGGGTGGGGGTGGGGATAGAGATGAGATACGGGGGCAAGGAGGGGTTCCAGGGGGTTGGGGTGAGGATGGGGACGGGATATGGGGACAAGGAGGGGGTCCTGCGGGATGGGGAGGGATCCTAGGGGATGAGGATGGGTCCCAGGGGATGGGGTGGGGTCCCAGGGAATGGGGTCCCAAGGGATGGGGGAAGGGATGGGTCCCGAAGAATGGGGATGGGTCCCATGGGATGGGGACAGGATATGGGGACGAGGACGGGGACCACAAACTGAAGGGGGCAGGGAGAGGACAGAGAGGGGACAGAGAGGGGACACGAAAGGGACACGAAGGGGACACAAAGGGATCCTGGCAGGATGAGGAGACGGGCTGGGCAGAGGGGATGGGGTGAGACCCCAAAGGGTCGCCGTGGGAAGGGGGGGCCACCGACCTTCATCATGAGGACGATGGTGTTGAGGGCGATCATGGCCATGATGGTGTACTCGAAGGGCGGCGACACCACGAACTGCCACATGCGGTACTGGAAGCTCTGGCGGTTCTGCGGCATGTGCCGGGTCAGCGGCTTGGCGCTGATGGCGAAGTCGATGCACGCCCTCTGGGGGGGGGGAAACGACACAAAATGGGGGGTGTCAGCCCATCCTGAGCAGCCCCAGGGGTCCAAATGGGGTCCAAAATGGCTTCGGGGGCACCCAACTGTTTTGGGACATCCAATGATTTGGGACACTCAGTGATTTGGGACATCCAATGACTTTGGGAAACCCGATGATTTGGGACACTCAGTGATTTGGGACATCCAATGACTTTGGGAAACCCGACGATTTGGGACAGCCAATGATACTGGGGACACCCGATGAATGACTTTGGGGACACTCAATGATTTGGGGGCACTCAATGACTTTGGGGACATTCAACGACTCTGGGGACACGCAATGATTTGG